AAAAAAAAAAAAAATTCCAACTTTTTATGTTAATAAACGGCGCCTTCTAGAAGAAATTCTATTTAACATTAACAATCCTGTTTATCATTATTTCTTAGTGATTTTTTAACGCTGGTTTAAAATTGAAGTTTGCCCTGGTATATGCAATCTAAAGTCTGCAGGTTTTATTTGAAGAGGGAGAATGGGGCGAAATGTATAAAGAAATATGAAGAGATCCTAAATGGTCATTGATTTCAATCCAAGCTAAATGAAGAAATATGTTCGACAAATGACACAAAGAGGCATAAAAATCCAATTGATGTAGTAGGATAACATTCCAACGATTCGACGCAAAGTGGTTGAATCAGATAACTTGAGGAAGAACCTATATTTGATAGCAAAGAAGACAATTGAAGAAAATGGAAAGAAAGAGAAATAGCAAGAAAAAGAAGGTTAGACATATTGATGAAAAAAGAAAAGCCCGGCTTCCAAAATACTTATTTTTTTGCTCCCCTAACTGATAAGGGATATTTGCCAAGATGTTGAGTGATGTGTTTTGAATGAAGTTTCATAATAAAAGTAATTTTATAAAACAGATATTTTATACATTTTAAGCAAGATCGAAAATACTTTCTTTCCCTACCTAACAATAAAATAAAATATTACAATATAGCTATCAATTTCAAATCTGTTTATAAGACTTAAATCTTATAAGCAGAATCTTTTTCAAAATCTCTTGATCAATACAAAAAATTGAAAATTTAATTAAGCTGAGAAAAAAGGCGAAAAGAAAATAGATAGATAAAAGAATAATATTGTTTTTTGCATAAAAGAACAACGGATATCTTTATTGGAAAAAATGCAAAAGAAAAAAATAAATGTTTAAATTTGCATTCGACGATGCATTGTGTGCAAATAAATGTATCGGTAGAATATCTCGCGTGCGTTCCAATACAAAATTGACTTGTACATAGCGTCTGTTCAAAATCCGATTCAATACCAGTAAGTTATCGCCAACATTAGATAATTATTTGTATTATAGCCAATATCATAAACTTGATGAAAATGTGCAGTTAAACAGTAATAAATCAACTTCAACAATCGATTCGACCGATATACATTGACGTAAATCACAAGAATAATATAGCATTGATTAAATCATTGTCTGTTATTATTAAATTTAGACAAGAGACAGAGGTAGAGAAAGGAGTGGAAGGGGGGGAGGGAGGAAGGAGGGAAAAAGAGAGAGAGAGAGAGAGAGATGGCGAATTTCTCGAGATTATTAAATTATTATTTATCACTGTTTATACTTTTTACACTACTGATAATTATGTCATAGTATAGTCAATACTACTATGCGGAAAGAAAATACGAATTGGAACTACGATGACGACAGATTAATTGATGAAAATAGAATCGATCTTGCATTCGTCAACTTGTAACCGACATCGATTTGCATGGCTCTCCGTGAATTTAGATATAATTTTACTAACATTGATTAGCTCTAACCACAATCATATGACTAGGCTGTCCGTTATTTTCTATGTCAGTATTATAATTTTCTACTTTGTTCATAATCTGAAAGGAGTAGAAACTACTTAATTTTTTTAAATATTCTCAATACACATAATAATGATGATTAATCTTTTACAATTAGACACGATTTTTAAGTGTCAATTTTATCTCTCAATACAATTAAATTTATCAATGTAAAATTTAAGAATCAATATATTATATGAATCATAAGTATGATCATAGTATCAAAACTTTTATGCAAATCTTAAATAAAAATTTACACTATGAAAAAAAATTGATGTTTGTAGAATTAATCTTTACAGATCATAATTCAATAGACGTCTTATTGCTTTGTAAATCGTAGGGTATCGACTATAATTGCAGGGTGTCTCAGAATCGTCCAATATGTTCTATGGACTTTGGCCGATCTGACAATAAGATCCATTTAAATATAAAGAATCTAAAGCATTAAAAATGATAAATTTATTGACATTCTCCTATATCCCTTGATTAGGTTAATTATAATAAATATCAATTACTGATATTGAGAAAATTGTCGTAAAACGCCCCAAGAGAGAAAGAGAGAAGGAGAAAGAGAGAGAGAAAGATTTCGCTAAGACTCACCTTCATCAACGGATTCGTCCGGTGTGGATGAGCAGGTCTGTCCGTCCGCCTGAATCAACTGCGTCCGCCGTGCGTCACGTAGTCGCGTGAAGAAGTCTACAGCATAGTCGATGATGTCGCCGGGCTGCTCCAGCAGGTAGCTGATCGTAAATTCCAATAGGACGTCGCGCAAATCATCCGGCACCGTGATCTTGCCGGCATTACGTTGACAGCTCATCTTTTCGTCGGCCAAACGATCACCCCGATTACCCCGCAAAATGTTCCCCTTTTCTCACGCGTTTTACTCACTCTCGGCTCGCGAATTTCGTGCTTTGTGCTGTGCTGTGTTCACGGCGCTCGCAGCCACGTTGCTTGGGGAAATCTCGTTGAGTAGAAGCGAGCAGCAGAACCGGGATCGAAACGGGAGCTAAAAGCCGGAATCAGGATCAGGAAAGGAACGTTTGACGCGTCGTATCGCCGCCCACCTTCACGCTGCTTCTCAGCTGCTGTTACTACTGCTGTTGCCGTTGTCGCCGTCGTGTCGCGCCACACCGCCGGTTGCTTATGTACCGGCAACCGTCGCCGCCGCTGGCAAGCTCTGCGCCTCCCGGTGCTGCGCTGACCACCGTCGACGGGCTACCCTGCCTGTCGTGACAACGCTGCGCACAGTCGCGCAAAACACGACGGAACCGAGACACAAGGATTCGATTTAATCAAGATGGCGACTGACAGCACCGCGTCTCCGATTATACATTTATCATAGATAGTCGCACGACAATGTGCGAGTACTTGTGTGAAATTGTAATCGAGTCAGTTCAATTCGAGTTTAAATAATCGAAAATAATTTTCTTCTTTTTAATTACATTACCTTTGTTTCTTTTTTTTTTTTTTAAAGCATAAATATGTATTTAAATGCAAAAAGTACAGATAAAACAAATTTAATATATGCCTTATTAAACTGTATACATACTAGACGAAGTTTCTCGCCTTTAATATAAGCGCGAAAGGATGACGAGAACAATAACAGGTTGTGTTTCTTTTCTTTGTAAATGCATTAAAACTCTTCATTTTTTATCATCATTAAAAGCTTTTAATCTACAAGAAAAAAGATGTAGTTAATGCAGGTTAGCTATCTTTGCTGTTTTCGTTAGTCCACGCCCTTCTAAAATCTCTATACGTACATAAATTTCGTTTATAACTCTATCAATTAAAAATTGCAAATTAAAACTATATTTTTATTATCAAATTTGATATTGTAGCAATTTATGATTTATTTTTTATATATTACATGTCTCAGACTTGTAAATATCACTTTTACAATCGTGAGTCCCGATAGTAACTTGACAATAAGCAGAAAATTTTCAAGATTCCATGTGAATAAATTCAATATTGTATAATAAATATTGTATAATAAAAAAATATAAAAAAGATTGCTAATAAAACGAATTAATAATTCTAGATATGCAATATGGTTAGGAAAGAAAATACAAAATTGTTAATGAGCTAACCTTTATTTCGCAGCTGTGTTCTGTGAGAAAAAAAGATTGCGATCATAGAATGTTTGCTGGACATATAAAATGAATCTTATTTTTTGTAACCACAGCTGCGCCTGCGGCCTCTTGCCCTTTCAAACTTTCGACCCTTAGACCGCACATACGGTTTTGTATGAGAGTGCGGCACACCAGGTGCTGGACCAAAGTGTTTTACACTCTCGCGAGCTTTACGCGGACCTTGCATTAAAACGGTGTGTTTGCCGTTTGGAGCACGTAATGCCAGCTGATCAAATGTGATTATTTCACCACCAGCTCCCAAAATACGTCCTCGAGCTTTCTCTGTCACGCGTAAAGCACATACCTATTTAATGCAAAAAATTTAATTTAAAATTTAATGCAAAATTCTATTATATGCACTTGCAAAAATTAAATTACATATATGCTATTTAATTCTACATTACAATTCTAAATTCTACATTCTCTCTCCCCCTCCCCCTCCCCCCACACACAAATAATTATTGCTAATAGCTCTAAATATTAGTATATACATTAATGTCATTTACCGTCAATTTTGGAACCTCAAAGATTCTAGCATCACATGTGACAGTACCAACAATCACAGCGATACAATTCTCTCGTGAAGGTTTTTTCATAAATCGCACAATACGTGCGAGTGAAATGGGTGGTCGGTGAATCTTGCTCATAAAAAGTCGTCTCAGTATGATCTTATTAAATTTTGAATTTGTTCTTCTCGCCAAGAATCGGTATAGCTGAAATAAAGTTTTTCTTATATCAAGTTTCTTACCATATCTTATGATATAAGATCTTTTAAACTGAATCTACAATTCCCAAACTTGCTAAAGTCCTGTGATATTCTTAAACCAACTTGCACTTTTCATTCACGATAGAAGAAAATAATATTTACATAATTATAATAAAGAAAAAATTACATGTGTCAACTATAATAATCGCCTTTTTACGTTGCAAATAAGCGAGATAGGATAGTTGAAATTTTTCTAGCGAACGTTCAAATTGAATCAGTCTATACAAGATCTGACACAGAGTGCGGTTCGCAATCTTCAAGGCATTAAATAAGTGAATCGTCAGTGTATGATCACTGAATCTTTTAATTTTTATCACTAATTTATAATAAAAGTTAAAAAGAATACAATCTAGTTATGGTATCATGTGTAATCAAACGCGACACTAACCTCAAAGTACTAATATGAAAGATGATGCATTTTGAACAAAATTAGTACAAGATAGAATTTAGCGCTGCATTCTCATTAGCAAATTTAATAGTTAACTCAATGTTTCAAATATATATATCCATTAGTGAATGTAGCACCAAACAACTTTACCTTGACGAGAAGACGTAAATACACATCTTGAGACTTGGGCTCCGTTCGACGCACCTTTCTATCATGTTTATGATTGATATCGATACCCTAATAAAAGAAATATTTGTTAATTAAAATCACACAATTTAATATTCGATGGACAAGCCCATTATATAAATTTATTCGATTTCTCAAACAAATCGAGCATTGTCATATCATCTCACCATTTTGACGAACAGGAAAAGGGGCTACATGTGTGAGAAGCATAGGAACAAGAAGAAACGGAAATGACAGAGGGCGTTGACAACACCGAGGCGAACATTGTTAATATTTTCCTCGGTAGGTAACAAATAAATTGGCAATATAGGTCGACCATTACCGACTATTTATCATCGAGATTTCATGACAAGTACACAGAGTGCAGTAGTGCTTGCATCTGATATAGCGTTAACCCATCTAGTAGTCAAGTGTTTTATGTTTATAAGTGTCAGACTGCCAGTGAATTTTAGGTTAATAAGTGGATGAACTGCGAGGCCGGTGAGAGCGTTGTGTGTCCAAAGTGCCATTGAAAGGAGTTGCAATCTATCTTGCGATTTCTTTATCAAAAGACACCGCGCTCCGACGAGAAAACGTATCGCGCGATTAAATGACAAGCGATTATGGCAACGCCCATCTGTGATAAGAGAGCGAGAGTGATCGTTCTAGGTGGTGAGTATTTTGTTACATAGACTCTCTGACAAAGAGAAAAAAAGTACGACGGAAGAGTGATAAGACAGCGACAGCCGATTGAAAGACTCTTATCGCTCGCGCAGGATGCGGTTTCATCGGTCGTAATCTCGTGGAGTATTTGCTGGATAATGATCTGGTATCATATGTCCGAGTTGTGGATAAGGTGCCACCGCAGACCGCATGGCTCAATTCAAAGCATCAGCGAATGTTCGAGCACCCCTTGCTCGAATTCAAAAGCGCTAACTTGATTAACATAGGTAATCACAGTACAATATGCTAAGAAATCTGGAAAAGAATATGAACTTTTGTTAAATTTATAACCGTTGCAAATTCAACTTCTAAATTTTTTAAATCTTAAGAATTTGTTAAAAATCTTTTCTTAATAACTGTAGAAAGTAGTAGTACTTAATAACTTGTAGAAAAATTATTAACTCTATTTTTTTTATATTTACTGCTTAATTTAATCTTTATATGTGAATTAATCAAAATCAATTCATTATTTGCCTTAGTCTATTCCACAAAATATAATTTTTATGAACTTACATTTACAGCATCCTGTCAAAATGCATTTTTATCCGAGGAGCCTATTGATTATGTGTTCAATTGTGCAGGAGAGACAAAGAGTGGTCTCACAGACCCAGTCTATAAAGAAGGCATTTATAAATTAAGCTTAAACTGTGCTCAACAAGCTGCCAAGATTAAAGTTTTACGTTATGTGGAGATATCTTCTGGCAACCTAAATGCATCGGAAAAGGTGTCCCTTTTTTTAGTAATATTCAAGTATCGACTTCTCATGCCTTTTTTAAGAGTGGATACTCTTAGAGTGGTACTTTGACATGCAAAGTTTATCATAATACATGTATAATATTATATAGATGCCTCATAAGGAAGAGGATGCTGGAGAACCATGGACATTTGTTGCAAAATATAAGTTACAAGTGGAACACGAACTGAAGAATGTGCCAGGTTTGAAATATACTATACTCAGACCAGCCATTGTATATGGTTTTGGTGACAGAAGTGGCTTAGGTAATCCTGAAATATAATTTCTCTTGTAATCAATCTTGTTACTAAAATATCTACATCTTGTTTCTAGTAATCTAAATCAACAAAGATATAAATGTTAATAAATTTTGCAATTTTTAGCCCCAAGATTGGTAGTGGGTGCAGTTTATAAACATTTAGGGGAAATGATGAAGTTGCTCTGGGGACCAGATCTACATATGAATACTGTTCATGTGAGAGATGTTGCTAGAGCTATCTGGCATGTCGCAAATAGGCCTGAAACAGTAAGCCAAACATACAATCTTGTTGACGAAGGAGATTCCACTCAAGGCTCCATTAGTGCCATAGTGTCAGAACTGTTCAACATTAACCATGATTATTGGGGCACTGCGCTATCTACACTGGCTAAAGTATGAGAATATATGATAAACAAAATTAAATAAAAAATGATTATGGTTTTTTTACTTTGTAGACTGATATGAGTTCTGTCGTTGAGGAGGTAAATGACAAACACATGGGTCCTTGGGCGGAAGCTTGTCGCAAAGACGGAGTGGAAAATAGTCCTCTTTCTCCGTATATAGATCAAGAGCTTTTATATAATAAACATCTATATTTGCAGCCTGGGAAGTTGTTGAACACCACAGGATTTACATACTTGTATCCTAAATTAACGAAAGATGCTCTTACAGAGGTATTCACATGCTTTTAACAGCTGAATTTGAAAAGGAAATGCACATATAAATACTTAGAATGGTTATTTAAATTTGCAGGTACTTAATGATTATGTAAATATGAAAATCTTCCCGCATTCTTTGATTTTGTGAACTTTAGTGACACCAATGGGCCAAATTTGGATATTGGACAAGCTTACGATAGATTCCATAAGTATCAGATATATATATGGACGTCCAGCGCCGTTTCACCTTGTGCCTAGAAGGGTTCTATACAGATTACATATACTCTGTTATACATCTTTGACGTTTTACACGCAAACAAATAATAACTAAATAAGACTAGAGCATATATATATATATAAAATATATATATAAATGAAATTTGAAGATTTCGTAGATGGGCCTATTGCCAATGTGATAAAATAGCAATTAATGTACTTAATTTTACCGTAGTTGTCGAGATACAAAACTTTTTCGCACCTTAAAGGTCTGCTAGTCAAATATTAAAAAATTATTTGGAACAATGTTAAGGATTTTATGCATGAAGATATATATATACAAATGCCTAAATTTAAAATATTTATAGTCTATAAATTGATTTAGAATATTTTAGAGATTTACTCAGTCAAGAAAGGAAAAAAATATGCTTTTTATATACCACTTTTCTCATCCAAGACTGGATTATACCAATAAAGTTATTAAAAATCTATATACGTTTTACATTGTTAGATATGTTAGATACAAAACTTTTTTTACAGCTACATTCCAAGGTATATCTTCCATAAACTGTGACTCAAATTGTGAAATTTTCTATTCCAATCAAATATTATTATTGCATAACATTATCGATAACTTGAATATGTATGATCTAAAAGATATTATATTAAATCAAGTACAAACACTATTAGAGATATATGTAAAAAATATGATATATCGATATACGAGCGATTGTTCATATTGGTAGATTTGTATACAAATCGCGCATATTCGCATACATTTAATATAAAAAAAAAAAATGGATTATTTGTTTAGTGGCATTAAATGTCACATATAGTAATATTACACTTTTGATGCTATTGTTGCGCCTATGTGGTTATAGATCTTTGATAATAAAGTTGCATTTATGAAACTGTATTGATTTGCTATATCCTACAGTAACAAATTCTCCACGCTGTATATAAAGGGAATATAATTTCTGCACACAAAATGCATTTGTACACTGTCTTAATTTTATTGAATCAGTGGTTACAACAAGACGACGTGTTCAAGGAGGGTCAACAATATTATTAAATATTTCGTGTATTTAGTCTTAATATTTCAAACAATAAGATTATAATTTCATGTAGTTCATTATATGTAATATATTAAAATATATATCTTAATGTTCTTCGCAGGTAATATAATATATATATACAATTGTAGATAAAGGTATATACAAAGTAACTGCACCCTAAAAACGTCAATAAAAAATCATCATATTGAAGTAATAAATCTAAATTAAAAGGGATGAGATGAGGGTTTACGGAAAATAAATTAATAAAGTTTTCTTAACACACAATAATTATAATTAACGATAATAGTATAAATGAATAAAATTATCGATTTCTCTGTTTTTCTTCCGTATATATTATGTGTAAAATAAAGTGTAATGCTTGACTCTCTATCATATATACATATACTGTATATGTATTATACACACATAACGCAGTATACATATATACTGTACATATACTGTATACACTCGCGCGCGCGTGTATATCCACCAGGCTTGGAAATATATTCTTTGAGGTAAACTGCATAAATGTAAAACAATAGCCTAATAGGTACGGAGATTAAGTTAAAATTAAGTAATGTAAATCACTCTGTGTAAGAGCGATAATTACGGAGGTATATTCGTTCGACTAGAGTCGCCGTACAATACAATTAATACTTGCTATTTTGTATACTCAACGCTTACAGTTCGTTTGATGAATTATTATATCGTACTCGGTAGAAGGAATGCGTACATGTGAAGTAGCCAAGTAATCTTGCATCGATTTCACTTATGAACATGATTTAAAAGGTGAATGAATTGAATGTTCTTTTCTTTGGCTGCTACATTGTACCCCTAAATTAAGATATAATGAAAGTAGAGAAGAAGTAAGTAGAAATAATTAACGGTTGAAAAGAATTCACAATGTTGATCGTGGATTGTTCTGACTCATTCAATAAATTATGATAATTGATCGATGAAAATGCGCGAAATATTGATAAATAGTGATAAATAGATTATGCCATGCTGTCATGCCATTTCGGACATTTGCATTCGTAGCATTATGAAGAACACTATAATATGTTGCTTATTGCTTTTGTATGTACTAGGTAATGTAAGATAAACGTTATCTTCATGGATTTTGTACATACAGAATGTATCACATGTAGAACGTTACATGCTGTTTTCCTCCTCGCAGAGAGAACACGCTTGTAACGTTCTACGTGAGACACTTTATACAATTAACGCGATTACCTCTCCTCCGCACGGCGACTCTGTAGTCAGTTGTTTACGACATCTAAAAACTTATCACATCCATGAAATTATTCAGGAGCATTATGGTATGTACGGAGTGTGTGTGTGTGTGTGTGTGTGTGTATGTGTGTGTGTGTGTCTATCGTTCAATTAAATTGCTGATTGCTGTTTACTCCGCCGCTGCGGCTATTTTTCTCTACAGGGTTTCGTTATGATATAGCGATATGAAATCAGGAATAACAGCAGAATTGTACACGTGTGATCGAAGTAGTAATTATAAGATAACTAGGGAAGAATACTATTATTATGCTACTTAAATACAAAATAGATGAGGACAGTTTTGATAAGCGTAAACTCATTCTCTTTCACGAAACTCATACAACTGCCAGTTATATATCTAACACGTAAGAAAGTAAGATAGCTCAAAAAGCATTAGCATTACATACTTTCTGTTGCTTATACTTTATTCAAACCTCTCTTAAGATTAATCTCTTTTTGATGTCCGAATACTCTGTTGTTTTTGATAATTAATAGCTCTCTCTTTCTCTCTCTCTCTTTCTCTCTCTCTCTCTCTCTCTCTCTCTCTCTCTCTCTTCTCTCTCTCTCTCTCTCTCTCTCTCTCTCTCTCTCTCTATCCCCTACCCATCCCTCCCTCCCTCTCAAAATTATTCTTCAAAATGCTTTACACACTGCAGTATATATTTTCGAAATGCAGGAGTGTATAGTGAAAAATATCAAAATGTGCTCGTTTCTGATGCATAATATTAACAACAATGACCGATAACAATGATCGAAAGGAACGACCGGTTTAGCATCCTGATTTTTCTCATTATATGCCAATTTAGTTTCACCAACGCTTAGTCAACGCTCTCTATTAGGAGTGATTTTTTTTAAAATATATCACCAACAAATACAAAAGTACTTGAGAAAGCATGTGAATGTATATATCCTCAACAAATATGGAAATAATATAAAATGTAACAGGCATTACGTTATACAAATTATTTTGTATATGACAACAAACACAAAACAGGTTAATTAAATAAAATCGTAAGCCAGACACATTGAATGTACGAACACATTCGCAACGAATAAAGGCTGCTGTACAAAAATTATTTAAGAATATAGAAGTTTAATATATTGTATATGCGATCTGTGTGTGAGATTCTCATAATTATATTTATAATACATATAACAAGTTCCATGTATTTATGTGTAAATAAAACGATTCTTTCTATTTCGTAGAACTGTATCTGTATCTGATCTGTAAACTATATAGAGCTATTGTATAATGATTTGCAGAATTCAATAAACAGAATAAGTAAAGCATGGTGCACAGTTATTAACTGAATAGTTGTGTTCAAAACTAGGTAATAACAACGGTATCTTTCCTTGTGTAAACTGAAAATATTTTCGAAAAACATTTTCAATATTAGACTTGTAACAGACTCTGTTATGCAAATGTTATAGTATCTTATGGAATGAAGATATGATAGTCTTTAATGTATGCAGCTCGAATTAATTCTAGCGTTATTTATTTTCATACTGTGCTCATGGTGATTATATTATTGCATGATCCAGTGTAATGTGTGTTCATCTAAAGTATATATTGAATGTAAAATGCAATAAATAACAATTAGTGGAGGTACAGTAATAACATTGACATTTCTACGTCTCACTCTAAAAGATATAGCTTATTCTATCAGGTACTGTGTTGGGTTTTTCTGTCATGGTAACATGCACCAGTCTGGAATATGTGTCTTGTAGGTTCGTCTCAATGCTGCTTCTCTTTTTTTTTTTTGTGTAATACACAGAACTGCCAGTTAACACGCTAAATATCGTACAACGAAACGTTCAAGTTAATCGTATTAATTACCTAATCGCCTTAAGAACGATATCAATCTTATGAACGGAAAGAAACTCGAGGAATACGAGGAAACCTTCTTACACAAGTTCTGAGGAAGAGTTATCCGTTAATTATAAAAATATCCTCTATCATATACCAGTCTTTCAGATCTCTTATACGAGTAAATGATTGTGAAAATGAGATGACCTATCTCTTTTGCATGCTAATTATTTGAATTGTAATATTCTGAGCATAATTATCTTCTTTCTGAATATTCTTCCCATTCATAGGATCCTTTTTTTTAAATTTAAAGTATGATATATATATCCATGATATATATGTATCTCAATAATCCGCTTTAAACTAAAAACAAACTTACGTCAAATATTTTAGGAGCTATTCATACACAAATGAATCCTTCATTTCTTACGCACACTTAGCTCCGAATGCAAAAGAAATTTGATTCCTTAGAGAAATCAATGTTTTTGTAGAAAATGACACCTTAATGACACACATATGGTATGTAAACAGGCAAAACAAAGAAAAAAAGAGAAAAAGAAAAAAAAACACAGAATAAAAAATTTTCTTAACATTTCTAAATACGTAGCATCTGGTTAGAGCCTTTCCCTGTTTTTCTTAATACTAAAAGTTCTTCCTTTGTTCTTTAAAATTAAATCTTATCAATGAAAAGCTTATTTTGGAATGCTCAGTATCTATTTTCAGCAATCATCAGCCCGAAACTGTTATCGGAAAGAAACTTCGTCAATTGAGTTTAGGCCTTGCTTTGCCCTTTGTATTTAGCAATTTTGTGTTCCCAAAAGAGAAGGAATGCACGTCCGCATCTTTTTATCACCAGTATTTCAAGTGATATTTTTTATGGACATATTCACAATTAACATTATTCTATTCTATGTACAGAGGCATTGAAAACTTGTTATTTCATTCTGGCTTCTTTCGTTCACGCGTCTATTAATTTTCAATATTAATGACAATATAACTCGTGTATATATACATTCGAGACAACATCGTGACAACGTTTAAAAATTAATAGAGAATGACAAATTTTAACAGCATTCTCAAAGAAAAAATTGAGAACATGGTATTTGGCCGCTCTTTGCATAAGCTCAAAACTTTGCTTTCTTCACATATATATTATTTAAAAGAAAAACAAAGAGAAATTTTCTTAGTTGCCCGCATTACTTTTCGTTCGCGCGCGCGCGCGCGCCGCGCGCGTACTGGTTTATAGTTAACTTTAATTTTATTTTATCGCCGACTATTGTTTCAGTCGTTTTGGAAATAGGCCTTCATCAATCTTAAAACATTGTCGATGTTGTTTCGAATCATTTTATATGTACATGAGTGTTGTTTTTGTTCAAATGCTTACGCGTTTTATTTTCCGCGTAAAAATTTATCTTGCTCATTTTCACGTTTACATGGCGTTTCACGCCTCGAAATCGGACACGCATTTTTCCAAAACAGTATTATTTACATTGATCGTGTATCAGGCAATACCTCTGCTGCAGCAAGTTGAGTCACGTTGGACTTTGCGAGGTTGTTGCAGTTTTGCATTGCTTTTGCTTTATCGGTAGTGGAATAAATCTTTTCTTTTTTTTTTGCGTTTTTTCGCATCTCTTGACTTGGAAAGAGACTACGATCTACGCAATGTGTATCAATCTCATAGGAGAAAATGGGAGAAATTATATGTATTCCTACCTGTTTGCACCTCGATATCGATGAGAACTATTGAACACTTCTGCGTACTGCCTAACGCACTTTCAACCATTTGGTCCGAGCGCCGGAACAGATACGCACGTGGCCTTTGGCGATGATGAAGTTTCTCCATCCGGGCATCCTGAATTGTTATTTAAACTGCTAGTGCTACTGCCTAAAGTACAATTGACTATTGTGAGCTGCGTGCCTTCTAAATCTTGCTCTTCCTCCTGTAGATTATTCGAGGCAGAACTGCCTCTTCTTTTATACTGCAATCACGAGAATAGATGGATTATTAGCGGAAAATGATCGCCCCTTCATTATCTGTAACACAATGTTGAAATTCATAGCGATACCTGAGGGTTTTCCATAATATGAACGTCTTTCGAACCTCCATTTATCTCCCATGGCGATAACAAGGGTTCTTTCGCACAGATTTCAAAGACCCCATTAGACTGTGTACCCTGTACAATATATGTCGCGTATTATTTGTCAAGATTCTTTTATCGACAAATCGGTCCAAGCGATTATTCCACGTTCGATTACCTTTGCGTCGGAATGCGGATTTGTTTCAATCGGGGACGACGGGCACAGCACAGCCAGTTCAATCTCATTCGGGGCGCCGGTAGTGTTCGCTTGCTGACTCATAGACGTGGACGACTGCTCCGTGCAACATCCATTTCCGTTTCGCGACAGTATACGCCCCTTCGTAGGCTGAGTATCGTTTCTCGACGAACGAGAATTCTCAAACTTCCTCCGGCAATATATGCTGCATAGACATATCGTGATAAACACGATACTTATGCTCACTCCGAGAACCACACCTGTTTTTTTTTACACATACACAATGTTTACTTACAGTTTATACACGATTAACATAATAAATTATTGAAATTAAGGTCTGTTGTTTCTCTCACCTAGACTCTGATCGGGTTTAGCAGGTCGCGGTGGCTTCTGCTTACCGGACGATGTTGGTATTGTCAACGTATTATTACTACTGCCACCGGTAATAATAATAATAGGATCCGACGGTTTTCCATAACCGGCTTTCGTCGCTGCTTGCACCATAACAAAGTATCGTTTCCCTGGCGCTAGCCCCGGTATACTCGTCGTCGTTTTATTACCGGGCACGGTCACGTTGCCCCACGTGTTCGTCGACTCCGCCAGATCCATGGTGTACACGACGAAATAATTTCGTATGATACCATTTATATTGCTCGGTTCCTTCCACGCAATTCGTACTTTCGTATTGTTACCCAGGAACCATTGTACCTCTTCGACTTTACCAGGAACTGTAATGTTCATTTATAAAACCTAATGTAAAAGCCTGACAATGTACAATACTGTTCTATCAAACAAACAACTGTTGAATTCTCACCATCTTCATTTGTGTAACATTCTATAGAGTCGCTATACAGACTGGTTTGATTTGTATCATGCTTAATGGCTCTTACTTTAAACTGATATAAAGTGAAAGGCTTCAATTTGTCAACGTTCATTTTTGTATCGTCTCTATAATATATTATATCACCATTAGATATTTGATACGTATAATTAAACTTATTTCAAACATTCAAACCATACTCACATGATAAAACACTTTAAACCGTTAGAATTTTGCGCATTCACCGCATGATAACAAAGTTCAAATGAATTTGCACCTTGCGCATCGGATAACGTCCATGTTACATTAATGGACGTTGGTGAGATAGGAATAGCCTCCAAAGCCATTGGTACAGTGTCTATCATGAAATTATTACATAAACTTATCCATTCTTTGTTGAAAATGTAATAATCTATAAAAATTTGACAAACTTACCAAGATCGAACTGTGCAGTCTCTATGTGTTTTGTCAAGCAACCTGTTGCTTCACCTGAGTTTACCATGCACAAACCCATGGTATAAGAAACATTTACATCTAAATACACAAAAAGATAATGAAAAAATCAATAATTTTTACAATATTATTCATAAAGAAATCATCGTATAATGCAAGATTTTTACTTACCAAGATTAGTAAACAAATATTCAGTAATATTTTGTGGTAAAAGAATACTTTTTAATTTTTCGCCATCTTGATTTTCACAATAAATTTGCCAAGAATCAAATTTTGATTCGATTTGATCGTTTTGTTTGAAGTTGATCTTCCATTTCATCTAATCATTAAAAAAAAATTTAGACAGTAGTTCATAAATAAATAACCATAAAAATGTTTAAGCTAAATCAAAGAGTACTAAATATTAACCTTAATTATCGAAGCATTTACAATTAATACTTGAATATCCACATTTCTTATAAAATGATTGGGTTCAGAAGATGGCATAGTTACAGTAATCCAATCTAATTGTGTTTCGCTAATATTTGGCCAGCCCTGTTTCGTTCTTGCCATTACTCGAAGATCATATTGTGCTCCAGGTATCAGATCTGTGATTATAAAGTAGAATTACACAATTTTGTAATAATACTTTTGTAAAATTCAAAGAAAAAAAAACGATAAATGTAGTCATACCTGCAAGTACGTGGTATTCAATAGTGGCAGGTATATAAAGTACTCTAGAATATGGATGTTGATGAAGTCTCCATTGTAACTTATATTCCACGACAATGCCACGAGATTCCTTTCTACTCAAAGGCTCCCATGATACATTTAATTTTGTACTACTGATTATATCCACATTCATTTTTGGTGCGCCTTTAGGAACTGCGAGTGAAATCATTATTTTAAGATAATCGAAATAACATTGCGTCGTAAAATTAACAGAAATGTATATAAATATATACCACTTGGAGCTGTGGAACACAGAATGGTAGTCGACTGATCCTGAGCACCAGAATTATTCCACACTCGTACGTAAAACGAGTAATTTGTAAACGGTTCAAGAAGTTTTGTTACTTCTACAGACGTAGAATTTCCTGGTTCCGGCGGGGAAACTTCCTCCTTGCCACCTTCTATTGCAAGA